GGGCGCGGGCGGGCGCGGGCGGGCACGGGCAGGCGCGAGCGGGAGGAGGGAAGACTTTGTGCCTTCCCCCTACAGCTATTCGGGCGTAACGTATTTATCGCTATGCGTTTGGCTGGCGCTGGAAATTATGGCTGCGAGCTTAGCGTGACGTAGGGCGGTGGTGAAGACTGAGCATCTCGGCTCTTAGGGATAGTTTTCCTGATTTCTTCTGACTTGAGAGGCTAGTCGAATCTTCCAGAGTGCGCGGTATTACCAGTTCGTAATATAATATTAGAATTTTATACCTATTCAGAAACACGCAACCAGCATACAATTAATGCAAGTCTGATTTTCAAAAGCGTAATGAAGAAATAATTATGGTGTAGGATTCATGATTTGATACAAGTTATGATCGTTTTCTGGGCACCGGAAAATGTGATTGTGAGGTTGGCACGATGATAGTGGATGGCGAAGAAATTATTTAAGTCACATTTTCTCTGGATTCTCCAGATGTGTGTTGTGTTTGATCAGTTTGCATAATCGTAAAATTAAAATTAAAATTAAAATTAAAATATCATGGGAATGCCTCATTCGTGGTATTAGTTGATCGTAACATAATTTCAGAAATTTGATCGAATTCACATTACCATACAGAGTGTATGTAGATTTCAGTAGTTTCATTTTCGAATAAATGAATAATTCAAAATTCAGAGTGTTTAAATGAAAACCATGTATGATTTCTTCTGGTATTATGTTTTTTACACCTCTGGCCCTGATATTTCAACATCATTTGATTAGAAAGTTCAAATAAGATAAAACTATGATTAAATTTCTTTCGAATAACCGAGTAATTGGCGTCATGTTCGGTTCAGTTTGAGAACTTCTGAATATTATTAATAGCTACTAAACAACGCTCCTTGATGTAACAAAGATTAAGCAGCTCGAGACACGGAGGATTCCTGAATGGGTGACCGTCTGAGAATGCCTGATACAACCGGCGAATCACTGGTTGATATGGATAAAAAGCTATGACATTATGACAAATGACTATGGTCAAGGATTGGTGTATAATGACTAATGCATTTGTTGAAAGAAAATTTCTTCGGGTTCAATCCCTAAAAGGCTTGAAACATTGATTCCACAGTAACAGAATTTTAAATAATTGGGTGACCGTTGAGTGCAAAGCCGCTCGTTCAGAGTCGTCTCGTTCTTGCAGAGGTATCTCCTCAACCGCAGCGCCTCTGGCGGCGGTGGGGAGAACGAGGGGGGAGGCCGAAGGAGGCGCAAAGCGGCGCAATGGGGTGCTGATAAAGAAGCCCAAGAGGGCAGCTGCTCCGCTGCGAAGGCGCCGCCGCTAAAATAATTACGCGGACGAGAGGCGCCGACCAACGAAGCGACCGGCCGGAGGGGCTGTGGTGCGAGAGCTGGGGGCTACGGAGGTTAGAGGTCTTGGTGACGGAACAACTGGGGAGGTGCGAGAGGCTGGGAGCAACGGGAACTAGGAGGGGAAGTGGTGAAGGGGATCCAAACCAGGCAGGAGGATGTAGTGGAGGTGAAAGCGGTGATGGGGTTTGCGGTGGTGAAAGTGATTGTAGTGGTGATGGTAGGGGTGATGGATGTTGGAGGTTGGGGTGGAAGTGAGAATGAAGTAACAACTGGGGAGGTGCGAGAGGCGGAGAGTAACAGGAATTAGGAGGGTAAGTGGTGAAGTGGATCCAAACCAGGCAGGAGGGGTGATGGATGTTGGAGGTTGGGGTGGAAGTGAGAATGAGGTAACAACTGGGGAGGTGCGAAAGGCGGGGAACAACACGAACTAGGAGGGGAAGTGGTGAAGTGGATCCAAACCAATCAGAAGGATGTGGTGGAGGTGGAAGCGGCGGTGATGGTGTTTGCGGTGGGGAAAGTGATGGAAGTGGTGATGGCAGGGGTGATGGACGTTGAAGGTTGGGGTGAAAGTGAGAGAAGTAACAACTGGGGAGGTGCGAAAGGCGGGGAACAACGCGAACTGGGAGGGGAAGTGTAGGAAGGGATCGAAACTGACCCGGAGTAGAATATAGTGTTGCTCGCAGTGGTGGCGGTGGCAATTGCGGGTTATGACAGTGGTGGTGGAGGTGGGGGTGGTAGATGTTGTATGCCTGGTTGAGGTCGAAATCTGAGAGGTTCGAATGGCAGGGGAGAGGTGGTGGCGGGGAATAAGGCGGAGACGGGGAGGGAAGTGGGGTCGTGAACGGAACTGCGGGCCGTGCGAATGTTGAAGTGGAGGTCGGCACAGAGGTGGTGACGCAGATGGAGATAGGAAGGCGGGGTAAAGCCAGACACGAGGAAAGGTCGTCCGATAATAAGAGGTGAAAAGGTGAGGGCAATGAGGCGGGGTGCGGTGGGATGGGACAGCAACGAAATCGGCGTCGGAAACGTGACCGAAAGTGAAGGTAAAAGCGGGGGCGGGAATGAGG